TTACTTAAACTCTTATGAGAGTTTAGCTAAATAATTTGTTAACTTTTTTTTCAACTAAATTCATAGGATAAGAATTTTTACTTTTTATTTTATAATAGAAAATTTAATTTAAGTTGAAAATTATTTTATAATAAATTAATCAGTTTAAAAGTTTTTGAAAGTTATCCGAACAAGTCAAGTTTTTTGTCACTTTTGGTAGTCAAGCGTAGGATTAGCAATTTAACAAGTTTTAACAAATTGCTATTATCGTTGGTTTATTTTTAAGTAATTTTACGGGGGAGAATTAGCATAAAGACTAGCGTGCTTATGTGTAAAAGTGTAAGAATTTTGAGAAACTCACGGGGTGAGATGTTTGGCGCGTACGAAACGCGTGCAGAGAGTCAAAGTTTTTTGAGCCAGGCAGACAGTGCCGATTCGGATTTGTTAGTTTAACAAGGACTTTTTTTTTTTTCAAATAGTTGAAACATAGGCATGCTATTCATATCTGACCAGCTGGATTGTGTATTATAAGTAGGTATAGAGTAATTGGTTGTAGTATTAGTATAGTTTTTTTTATATTTATATTTAACGTCGTGTATTTTCGTGTTTTTTTTTTTTGTAAGATGATGCAATAATGAATTAGTTTTAATATTTTGATTATGATTATAGTTTTAATAATTTGATTTTGATAATGTTTTTCTTTTTTTAAATATTTCTCTCTTTCTTTGTTATTATTACGCGTACTAATGTTGGCCTCAGTTCTGCCGGGTCACCATTGTCTGGTGCTCTATTCGCGGCTTTATCCGACCGATCCTACTAATGATAGGATTGGGATATGATTTCTTTGCATAACGATCACAACGGCTATCGCGACCAGTCTAGTTATACATCGTATGCGGCACGGTAACGAAAGGACTAGCCAACCTTCGTTAATTAGAGCAGATTGCAGGCACAATGTGTCTTTTAGAAGTCATATCTCTGCGGGCGCAGGGACACTGGTAAGGGTTTCACTCGGTCTTGCCAAGTACGGACCTGTACCCGACGGTTGGATAAACGCTCTAGTTGTGTGCGTCATACAGCTAGAACGGCCAGTGACACTTTTTTTCGCTGTTTTTATTTTCGAACTAGTAGTTTTTTTCTTCTTCACGTTTGTCTAATTCTTATTAATTTTAATGTTTTATTATTCCATAATAAATCAGTTTTATATCATACGCGTAACTTCGTCACTTTTACTGTTTTTATCCTATTTATCATTATTGCATTATCCGTTTTGTTCGCCACTTTAATATATTCGAATGTTTTGTTTTATATATGTATATATCGTTGTGTCGTTTTTTTTTTAGCCGTGCGTCGCGAAAGGTTTGGTTTGGTTTACGGATAGAGTTTATAGCCTTTGCTACAAGGTAATGAGAGTATAGAGGGCAAATTTAAAAAGTTAATTATGTTATGGTGCCCGATTGTATATGTATCAAGTATAATAGTTTTATGTTAAGTATGAGAATGATTCGAGGTAAACTATTATTTTCGTCGTGTTGTTTTTTTGTTTATTGATAATGTCACCGTAAATCAAACCAAACGAACGTTTGTAGTGTATTATCGCGTTAGTTTATACCGTCGGCGTGTTGTTTATTTTCGTGACGCCCTTTTATATGGACAAAATACGATTTTATTTTTATTGAAAATACTTTAATTCTGTCTCGTCAATAGTTATTGGCTCGTGTTTTTGACCGCCCAATCCTGATTAAGGGGTCCGATATGGCAAATAGAGTAAATGAAATGAGGAAATTAATAAAGGAAATAAGTATGAACGGAGTATTAGAGATAGGGCGAACTTGATGTTAGGAATCAAGAATAGGTATATTTGTATGAACAAATATATAAATTGATGGATCGTGTCGAAGCCTTCACCACCTTTTTTTTAATGATTTATTTTCAATAGTATTTTTTTTTTTGTATATGAATATACCGTAGGCAACTCGGCCGTCGGTTGACGTAGCTTTAGTCCGAGCGGCCGGGACAAGCAGTAACGCTGTCTCATGAAACGACCGGACTCGTTTCATAAGAGTTAGTTAGATTGATATGACACGATTCATTTTTTGTAGAGTAAAAGATTTTTCGGCGTAGAAGTATATGATTGAGGAAAAAATCATTTACTTTTTTAAAATAATAATAATATAAGGTTTAGTCTTAAGATTCCCCTCCCCCTCCCTTAGATAGTTGTAGAATTAAGTTTTAGATTATGTTAGGATATATAGAAGTTATAGCTGAGTTTTAGAGTTTTCGTTTGTCGAGGAAAGGTTTGTTGTTGCAACGAGGGTAGTATAAATATAAGTCTGCAGGCTTATATCGGGACGCCATATCGGATGTACGTTTTTGTTATGTGTATATGAGAAT